TATATATATATATATATATATATATATATATATATATATATATATATATATATATATGAGCTACTCAGTTTTAAAAGTTTTCAGTATGTTTTAGTAGAATCAAATATAAATGTTTTCAGATTTATGTATGTTTTCTTTGGAAGTATACTTAGCACTTACTGAACTTTAGGAATGAATAATTTTGTTTAGCATTACTGGACCTTTTGTAGCAATTCATAAATTTCAGAACTACGTGTCACTATTGGATTTGTTTCAGATAGACATTTGGCTAATAAATCAACATAAGCTTAGTTATCAGGTTCCATACGATGGCAAGTATTTGACACTCTCTTCTTGGTGTGGAGTAGTACACTGAACAGCATGTAATAATTCACATGTCACATCTAGGATAGTCACATATATTTTCCAATACTACCTTCAACCATTAATTGTCAGTCAAGTAAAAGTGATTTATTCATCCATGTCAACAAAGATTAGTGAATGATCATGCATTTCAAAATTAGAACAATATACGTAACACTACATAAATTGGAGAGCTGAAAATTTATGAAATACTTCTACAACTAATAATAACCGCTTCGATCGATCTAAGATTTAAAAATTTATAGGTTCAGCTATGTTTCCTATCCTCCTATGATGTTTTGCTTCCTCCGGTTCATTTTAGCAGATAAAACAACTGCAAAATAGTCTAGAAAAACAAAGCAAACGTAAATAATCCACCAAATATAGATAAATATTGTTGCATTGGAAAAAAAAGTACCTCATCATCTTTTTTCTGCAAAGACGGACAACATTCTCCTGGTGTGGTCCTTTATATACATGGATTTGAAAAGTTTCAATGGTTGTATGCAAAGTCAGGTTACTAACTTCCACAGTTCATGCAAAAATAAAATTGACTGTTTCAACATAGTTAACCTTGTACTTGTGAACCTGCAAGGCATTGAGAAAATATTGTATATACGTTTCGAGGGATATATATTATTCACAGAAAAAGCAAAGAAGAAGAGAGTCATACATTGGTTTCATTATTGTTGTAATCCTGAATAGCATGGTTAGCCAGTTCCATCAACAAGTCATTTTCTTTCTCAAAATCTAGATATGGTACATATGTGCCTGCCTTAGCGTCACCAGGATAGATGTCAATCTCGAAACCCTGTCAAATAAGTCATATCCAAGTTGTAACAAACAAAAAGAGAGGTCTCATAGAGATTTTATATGATAGAAAGTAATTTAAAGCAAGTGAAATTATAAGAAGAAGCTGATATTCAATATTCCGGTAAAGATTGTTCTATTAGAAGATAATCAAGGAAGAATTGTTAGTGGCCTAGACAGACATGAGTTGGCTATTCAAATTGGTGTAGTTTGTTCTGAATTAGCTCAAACAACCAAGGCACATCTATAACATCACATCGTGGAAGAGAAAGAGTACTATGAGAATTCGTTTCCGTAAAATTAGGCCTTGGACCTATTTCACACCTTTAACAGTTTAACAACAACCACAAATCCAGTGAAATCACACTATAGGAAGGATAGAATAAACGCAGGCTTTACCACTACCTCTGCAAGGTAGATGAGCTATTTTCCACAATTTCATATGTTACAAACAATAATCAAGAGATAAAGATAAGAGAGCAAAACACAGTAAAGGTATAGATTTAGATTATTATTATAAAAAAAACTCAGAATATTATAATAATAAGAAGAATACAAGAAGCATAAGCTAGAGGAGAGAAATTTTCTTATTTAAGTGTGTCTTCCAAATGGTGAGTGATTTTCTATTTATAGTGTTGAGATATCACTTCAAAAGTCATTTAATTAATAAATACATAGTTATCTTGGAAGTTCTTATCACCTTGGAAGCACCTATACATGAATCCATTTAATAATGGATAAATCTAATGGATAATCCACACATACTATACAATGGATGTATAACACTCCGCCTTGGATCCATAGATTATGTGCCTCATTAAAACCTTATTAGGAAAAACCAAGTGGGAAAAAATCCTAGTGAAGGAAAAAGAGTACACATATCTCATAATACGCTTTGAATGTTGCCTTGTTAAAAACCTTACCAGGAAAAGCCAACTTGGGATAAAACCATAGTTAAGAAAAAGATTACAACGCGTATTTCACTCCCCCTAATGAAAACTTTACTTGATATTGCGGAGACGGCGCATTTCAATCTTGTATCTCAACTTCTCAAACGTTGATGTTGGCAATGCCTTAGTGAATAAATCAACAAGATTATCACTTGAACGAATTTGTTGAACTTCTATCTCACCATTTTG